AGAGGAGTTTCAGCATCATGTTCACCTATGTCTATCGAGTTGGTGTGTGCTGTTTTCGGTGAAGAATTGAGCGTTGGAGTATTGGATGTGCTATAGGCTAAGGCATTTTTATTTTTAGTAAAGCTAGAAACGGGGGTAGGGATCTTAATTTGACCTAAACTTGTGCATGTACCAAGTGTGCTTAGTGGATGCGGGTGAGGTAGACTGTTCCTACATTCATGCAAAGGGGGAGCCAGCACTAGTGGTTTAGGAGTGTTAGCATCCCTACCAGCTGTTTTTTCAACGCTGACAGGGACGCAGGGGATAAAAAATGATTGGGACCTTGTGAAGACCATGGTCTATTGTTCCACCTATTGTTAGGTACTAGTGGTGTCCTTGTAAGGGTTTCGAATGTACTGCTTTGTGGGTTAGTTCCCAGCAGACTTGTACCGTATATCCGATCAAAATTTATTAGCGTGCCATACTGTGAATGCCCTGAGTTGTTGGTGGTCGAGTTCTGACTATTGTCACTTGTACTCTTGAGGGTGGCATTGTTTTGGCGTTGGTTATCAGTGTGGGCCGTGGTGCTATTTCGCACGTTGTGGGTGCCAATACTATTGACCGTGGGGAATGTGGGCTTACTTATACTGCCATTGTTGTTGTTGGCATGATTTGGGGTCATATTCTTCTCTTTTTTACCAATGGACTTATGGCTAGGAGAGGAAAGGGTCAACTTTCGGGGGATTTTGACTTTTTTTCTTGGATTATTTAGTGACATGTCTAAATCTACAGTGGTAGGTGGTATAGTTTTATTGGCTATTTGATTACAATTTAGCGGCCTTTCGGTTGGTGTCGCTCTCTGAGAAGATAATTCTGTGTGGTTAGAGAGGGGTGGTGCGGTGGATTCTACGGTGTCTCTCAAAGGGTTGGGTATAATTGCTGCTTGCAATGTCCTATTGTTTATTCCACAGTTAGACTCAGTGTGATAATTATATACGCGCCTTTCTATGACGGTCTTGTCCACCGCAACCTTTACTAGTTTGTAATTTCTGGCTTGCAGTGGGGTGTGTTGGGAGTGGATAAATTTTCTGGCCTCAGCAGGTGTTTCGAACTGAAAACGAATAGGACAACACTTGTCATGTTGACTCTTCTTCAGCCTGTAGCACTTAGTCTTGGAGTTGGGCATTTTCGCCTCACTAAGTAGGATGCGCTGTACCTTTTTTAGTGCCTCATTATCCGGAACGTTGTAGACAATAGCATTTAATTTAGCATCTAGTCGTTTTGTTACTTCTGTAGTAACAAAGTTAATTAGGTTATCCACCTTAGATATCGATTCACTGTCAAGTTTGTTAAGGTCTACAGTTTTCATGAGAATAGTTAAAGGTGTCAGTTCACAGACCTGCAGTCTGATATCACTGATCTGACCTGATAAATTGGAGATTTTGGTATTGGTATCGGAAATTCCAGGATCTACTGACTTATTGTTTTTTAAGTCCCTTAACTCGGCCTTAAGTTCTCCTATAGACAACTTTAGAAGTTCTATTTCTGAAGATAGTACTGAAACAGAGCTTGAAGGCTGGAGCTTTTCGATAAGCACATAAGGTGTAGGGAGGGTTTCTGTATGAGCAGAGGGTACTGAATTTTTGGGAGTAGTGCTAATACTAGCTGTCAGTATAGTTTTATCCTCAGTTTCAGCTCGACGCTTACGACATACAAGTGAGTTTTGTGGCTCACTATAACCATTTGTAGGAAGTGTGTTGCTTGATGTAGCAATCAACGACTTAAAATTAGTCATCAGTTTTACAGGGGATTGAGTTCGCTGCTTTTTACTTTGGTTAACCATAACTATTTGATATGAGAGTTAATAGTTATAGGTATGGAAGTAGTAGAGGACTTGTGCAAGGATTACAACAAGATAAATTTTATGTAACGAATCACGCAAAAATGTAACGCAAACGTTGGACGTACCGCCAGTATAAGTTGTTATGTTACCCGTGCAAGTGAGAAAGGTGTCTTCGTCTATGTTTCTTCTGTTGGCAGAAATTTTCGCTTGTGGTTGGTTGAGAATCTTCATCACCTTACTCGCCTTTATATTCGTCAGAAGTCATAACCTAATTGATGCTTTTGTTGTTTTGGTCTGCAGATCTTTGAGTTTGTACAACATTATGAGTAAATCGCTTAGGTCTCCTAGAGTCTTTTGTCAGCCCAACGCATGTCTGCGTTATCACTCTCCAGAGTCTGTTGAACGATCCGGTCGGCCTCATTACGGTTGACCATCGGTGATATTGGGCAGTTACGTCTATTTCATGTTTTTATTTCAAATGCTGTGCTGCTCTTTCAGCTGGGAGTTACTTGGCATTTGCATTGTAACATGGCTGTTGAATGGGCTTACTGAAATCTTGGGCCACTTTGCAGTGCTGAAGTAGTCTCCAGATCGCTTTATTTTTTAAAGTTCATCACGTTAACACAGAAGTTTGACTGACATTCTATGAACAGTTCAACGATGATACGTAGAGTTACAGCGTGATTTGAAGATGACTTCCCTTTAGTGAATCAAGAGGGAAAAGCATTACTTTAGGGTGCATATTTAATCGGCGCCAAATATGCCATGGCGGAATGGTTTTTCGTGCCGCACACTGTTCTGTTTACTCTGCTTTCTTTTCACAATTTATCCAGTTCACTTCTGCACTGGAGATTTCATCCACTTAGAAAAATAGTTTATAAATTTAGAAGCATTTTGAGCCACTGCCATCCTCTTCACTTTGATAGAAAGACGGTAGGGATTAAACAGATATAGATTTCCTGGAAGACTGTACAAAGCATAGTGATGCATGGTACTGTAGGGGAGCAATCAAGTTTTTCTATCCAATTTGTTCTAAGCCACATCGTCTCCCACCGTCGTTCTGTTAACATGTACTGACTAGGTTTGACTGTGCACAACCGGTATTTCAAGGAACAATTCAATGGCTGTGAGTTCTGGTGTTGTTGTATCGCAGTGTTCTGTCTCCATACCACCGCTAATTAATACATCATTGTGCAGCCGTAAGTGCTATATTTTCCTTATCTAATTGGGTCAGTGTTGAGAACAGCCTAGAGGCCAGTTTAAGTGGTCAAGGCTAGAGAGTTAGCAGGTGGTGTGACCACAGTTTAGGTCTAGCATGTTAGATGGCCATACAACAATTGTGAGTGTTATTCTTACCCGCAGCCAATTGGGAACGAGCTCGAAGTCGTTCAAGCACACTAACTAAACGTCTTCCCTTAGCACAGTAATTAACAGTCTGTAGTTTCTTGAGTTTTTCGACGAATTTTGTTGGCTTAACAAAACAATGCATTTGTCTACTTTGCTGATGCGTAACTTTTAAGAGAGTCCTGGGAGGACTTCGACTTTTATATAGGGGCAAATGATTGTCATAGTCTACTAACGCGATCAGAAGAATGGTTTAAAATTACTAGGGTGTCTTCGCGTGTAGCAGTGGGACAAGTGCCAGCATTTTCGGGTTGTGGGGACACGTTTTCTATCGGTTTGTATATACATGATCTAGTTGTTATATGCAGCAGATGGAGAGATCTATGCGCAGAGTGGTAAACCATGAGAAATGGTTATGGACTTGATTCCCTGTTTCTTTTCGTTGTTGTGGGGTTGGAAAAACTCAGTGAACGCAGTAGAAAGCAAATATCAGGGACAGATGAAACACTTATGGAGCATTGATTCTCTTATTGTTTCATTTAGATTTCAGATTCAGATAAACTGATTGAGGATAGGAGGCTTCAGACTTATGTTAATCATCTTTTAACAAGTTTCTGTACATGTTTGAACTCTTCTTGCACACTCAGTTTAGGGCACTGATAATACATCTTCTGAGAGTTGGTTCCAGGAGCTTGTGACTCTGTGTGGTAACAAGAACTCCACTGCGATATGGTTTCTCCCTGGCTGTTGAAATCTCGTGCTTTGTCTTCCCTTGAGCCCCGACTTAGTGGGAAGGGCAAATAGATCAGGTTCGTAGTTTTGTTTAAAATTTAAAACATTATGACAAGATTAATTTCCTGCCTACTGTATGACAGGGAGAAGAAATCCAAACTGTTTGGTAAATTGGTCATACAAAGAATCAAATGTTTTGCCTTCCCTTGGCGCCTTTATAGAGTGCATGAGTTCCTCTTAAGACAAGAAGTGACTTTCTGGATACAGTTCTTCAGTCTTGACCTCATCATACATGTACATGTAGAAAATTCTTCTTGATTCTATCAAATGCCCTGCATATTGCCCGCAGAGGTCTAAGCCTTCGAGCTGCCAATGCGCGATAGTGTGCTGTAGATTTTAAGTATTAACTTATTATGACACCTAGACCCATGTGAATCTGAATAACAGGGGGTGTTATTCTCTCTAGTTAGTACGAGCTGACCCTTGCTTGTCAATGCACATGGTTGCTCATTTCACCACTTTGGTCGGGAGCATCCATACTTTGTACCAATCTAACAAGTTGTTAAGGTCTCCTTGCAGCGTTAGTATTTCATTTCCCCCTCAGCTCTTTCTAGATCTTTATGTCAGCTGAATGGGGACTATAGCGGATTCAGTGGATACACGTGACTTATCGATATAAAAGGTGAATAAGAGTGGGGCGATTACGGTAGCTTGTGACACTGCATTACTTTCTGTTTTCACAGAGGAGAAATTTTAGTTGATCCTGACTCTCTATCTTCTACTTGTATAGAATTTCTTAGTCCAATTTAGTTGTCCACCCGTGTTTCCAAGACCTGCATATTCTAAAAACATTCTTGTGGGAAGTAATTTTTCGAAGGCTTTGTTGATGTCCACGAAAATGACGTAGACTACTGCAACTAATTTAGGAACTTGATATCCTTGTCCAACTGACTCATTCAGCATAGCGACAGATGTGCGTAGACCATCACAGACTTCAACTGTTCTATCATAGGCATATTCTAAGTATTCGCGCGTTTGTTTATATACGCTAAGAGCTCTGACAATATTTTAATTTTGCTCATTTTGACCTTGCGGCGAACTTATGGATTCGTCTTTAATTGTAGCTGTAAGGTTAAGGCCATTCACGAAAAAGTAGGTCGCTATTTTTGAGATTTATATTTTTAGTGAGGCTTCGGATGGGCCAGTGTGTCTTGCGAGTATGCCAAAACCTGGCATTGTTCATATATACGAACCTGGTCTCAAAAACAAAAATGTTCGTGAATATAAATATGACCACACATTTTGGTCACTAGACACAGAAAAAAGCTCCATACCATATGCAAGTCAGGAAACGGTCTATACCACAATTGGTTATCCTTTACTACTCAAGACCCTCGATGGATTCAACACATGCATTTTCGCGTACGGCATGACTTCTTCAGGAAAGACCTACAGGTAAGAATTTTCACTGTTTATTTGATTTAATATTGTGGTTCATCTCATGAGTTGTAAAATTACTAGAAAAGACATTCGGACACTTATATGTATAGGCTTTGAGCATAGAGTGGTGCCTACATTTTAATGCAGGTGTGTGTTAGTGTAATGAGTTAAATTAACTTAAGCTGATTTAGTCACAATCTCACAGTAAGCGAAATGTATAGGTCGTGTCATTTATGATATTTCACAGCCTGTTTTGTCAGGGATGTTTCATAATCTGGATCCAAAATTAAAAGGATGTGTATTGACCTAATATATTTCAAATTTTGCTTTACTGACCGTCACTATAGTTCTACTCCCTAATTTGACGTTCTGGTTATATTTAATCCCACTTTTTCACAGGTTTACTATAGTTTTCCTGTTGGTTTCATACATTCATCAATAAATTAGAATTTTTCCGACATACACGAGTTATGCCAGCATTCGGGCACTCTGAAAGGAGTGAATATACTCTAGATGCATCCATTGTTTACAGAAAAGCTGATCTGATGTTTGTTTGTCGACCTGTCTTTGTGTTTAAAATACGGTTGTAAAATGAAATACTGCTCGACAGTCACATGAGCCTCTAGACTGGACACTACCTTGCTGCTTCCACCTTAATAATTTGAGTGCAGCTACTAAGCCATTAAGTTACAGCTCATAGTGCATGGTGTGCGGTATCCTCCAGCGTCTCAACCAAAGCTTGCTAGTTTTCCTATTCGGGAAAATGTACTTTGATGAATTGATTTTACACAGATATAACACTTTATCATACATTTCGAATAGTTCATTCTAATCCCTTATTAGACTCTTAGGAAGTGTCTGTGAAAAGCCAGTCTCTTTTGAACGTTTTATGGCATTATAAAACTGGCTTCTGTCTGTATCATATTCAATTCTGTGGTGTTACTATTATGAACTATTTTTACCGATGGTAAATTTCTAACATCGTACCTTGAACAGTTTTCGCTTTTTGTGTTCATTTTGGTTAATTATGAATTTCAATTTGTTTTCATAATTTAGTATAACTGGTCCGCCGAATGATCCAGGGATCATTCCTCGAATTATCAAAGACTTATTTGAAAATATTGAAAAAAGAACGGTAGTTACAGGAATTCTTTTAGTTTACTTTTTGCCTAGACATTCAACAACAATTTCTCTGTCAAAATGAGTTACTATGAAATATATAATGAACGGATTCGTGATCTCCTCTGCCTAAATCCACCTGGAAACGGGGTAAGAATATTTGACGAAAATGAAACGATGTTATTAACATAAATTTCCTTATTGTATACTTTCTTTATGTTTAAGGGTAAGCCTATCAAAAAGTCGCAGTGAACAGTATTTTCAGCGTGAAATAAAATAATTTTTCTTAGGCTTAATAGATTTAGAATGATATGAAAGAAAAAGAGGTGTGGTAATTGGTATAAGGTAACTTGTTCAAGAGATGTTTTACTCAGGGATGAACTCTTTCCAGTCTTTATGGTCCGAGAAATCTTGTTTATTTGTGGTTTTTTACCTGTGTTAAAAGGCACTGATAGTTATAGTGTATGAAGAATAAAAAAAGATTTTATTTTTGATGAAAGTGAAGCCAAATAATTTGAAATAAGAATAAAACTTGGGCACTGTGGTGGAGTATAATTCCATTATGAATAAAACTTTATTTTGATAAAATCACACAGTGTATTACAGTAATATTTGCTGATGATGTTTCGAGCATAAATTATTGCTTATAATCATATCTAGGTACTCACACAACTTTCTAACAAGAAATGAAATAATTTAAAAATCGGCATAGTTCTACTATTTTAGTGCAGAGAAGCATGTGTTTAATACATTTAGCTAGCAAGATTTCTTTTGGTTATCAAATAGTTGTGTTTAGTCGAGATTAGTCTTAGATGTCGATGTTATGATATTAACACATTGTTTTTTTTTCATATATATATATTGAAATACAATTTTCCTCCCACAATTTCGAAAACAATTTCAGCTTGTGGTTCGTGAACATCCAGTAACTGGCCCTTATATTGATGGTTTATCGTGTAAAGATGTCTTTTGTGAGTCTGATGTCACTGACTGGCTTGATTTTGGAGGTCGTGTACGCACTGTTGCTGCAACTCCCTTAAATGAAAACAGTAGCCGGTCACATACTGTACTTGTTTTGTCGGTGACCAGGCGTTCCACTGTAAGTTTCTTAATTTTCAATGGATGATGTATATGTATTAGAACTGAAGAAGTTAGACATATGTATGAATATCTCTCAATCTATACGTGTGAAAGTTAAAGTTTTGAAGAACAGATTAGTTTTTAATAAGTCATAGAATAATTCGTTTGCAAACTTTTACCCTTAAAGTGAATTCTAATACCTTGCCACCAGTATATGTGGTCCCAACATCATCCCCCTTTCGATTTAGTCAACTGTGTGGTACACTTTAAGACTTAACTGTTATCCAGTCTCCTATACGAAACTTCTAGATCTCATTTAAAGGCTTCGATAATGGCTAAATTCTTAATTATATGGTATTTCGTAGGTATTTTGGTGAAGCGTTGTCAAAACTCCATCTCAATGATACCGTCAAACACGATGTATTTTAGTAGTTAGTATGAATGGTTACGGAATTCGGGTACATATGAGGGCAAATACCAACTTTTAAATGGTGAGGTGCTAATGGAACCAAAATACGCATTCTTTATTCGACTACTTATTATCAGCAAGCAAGTAGGGTATCTTTTGTTCTCCTTTCCTCTGCGTTCTGAGTGGGACATAGGGCTTCAAGCTTTGAATTTCAAGTAGCGACGGTGGTTTTTTTTACAGGGGTTGCTAACCTCATGCTTAACCTGTCCCCTTTTCTGGGTTTAATAGCGGCTAGGCGAGGTCCTGGAGTGCCTCGGCCGGGAGTCGAACCCTGACCACATGCACAGTCGGGGAACATTGTACCACTGAACCACCGACCCACACGGTGTATCTACTACTACTTTAAGATTGAGTTGTAAAGTCCGTAACTTTTTGAAAATTGCTTAACTGCTGACCCTATGACTACTAAGAAACGCTATAAACCACTTTTTATTTCCATTCCAAAACAATTTATATAAACCTTGATTAAGATTAGATCGTATATGCTTCGAACTAGTTTGCCGAACAGAATATTGGAATAATTTGTTTTTGATATCGTATGTTTTATACAAATACGAGTTTTTATGAGTCTGCTTTATTTCTTCGTTAACAGAATAAATAAGCTGAGTGACCTAAATGTACTCTAAACCAAAATTACTCTCATTTTGAACTGGTTAGAATATTAACAACTTTTATCGTAAAGTCGTTATGCTGTATGCCTTTTCTGTGGGTTAGCTACAAAATTTATTGATTTGAGTAAAATGTCTGATCACTTCTGCTTGTATTAACAATCCTAAAGGAGATTATGTTTAGTTATAATGTCTTTGTATTATTTGAATTTCTACAGACTAAATATTCTCTGGGAGATGTTGACAATGTATATAATAGTCGGATTACTATTGTTGATCTTGCCGGCAGTGAACGCCAGACATCGTCATCCACTGTGGGTGGACGTTTTATTGTAAGTTCTGTTAATATTTTCATTACTTTTAAAGTCATGGGATTGCAAAATGTTCTTCGATTGGTAATCAACAGATTAGTTTGTGTCAGGGCTGTTTTAGTCTGCATTATTTAAGTGTTTAATGAACTAACCTAATCGTCATCTTGTAAAAGAGCTAAGTTATTTGATACTATCACCACCGCTTAAGTTCTAATCACCATACTTAAAGAGCTATTAAATAGTTGAAAGAAACAGTGTAGTCAGTTATGAGATGGTTAAGTGTCCATAGACTACTTTGAATCGGATGTTGGTGACACTCTGAATGGTATGCCTCCAGTCACCCGAAAGTGTCCACTGGATCATGTAGAAAATAAGAAAAACTCATTTATTAAGGGAAATTTTGTTCATCTACGAGGTCACCTTCACAAATTGTATAAACCACATTTATCTGTACCAAAGTATATAACCGTCTGTTATTGATTAGTAGGGGGAAGTTAAATTCCTAATAGAGTGACTCAGCAATTGATTTTAGAGACAGAAAAATAAAATTACGTAACAGTCAATAAGGTAACAGGGGAAAGAGTGTGGAATAAGGTGGAAGTGGCTACCATCATCTATCAAAGGGGAGGTGAAAAAAGGTATAAATAAGTTTTAACTTGTGTGTAGACATACTACCCAGTTCGAAGTTGCTGACTTATTGATTTTTTCGGAACGGCACTAATAGAGTTAAGGGTAAATAGGTAAATTCCTAGAGGTATAGTAATATTAAGTTTCGTTTTTCAAAGTTCGTATCTTAGTGGGACAATCACGTAAGTTAATGGGAAAAATGCCAGGTGGACTAATCTTATGACTTAAACGGTTATGAGGTGTGTCGTAATTCGCTACTAAGTATTTATCGACGTTGAGTTTGGTGAAGTATGATCGACTTATGTCAGCTTGTGCTCAGTTTTCGTCTTCTGACCAGTATCTTTTTAAGAATACTTTTCGTATCATAAACAGTGTACGAAATTTTAGTATTATATTCTCAGTGATTCATAAGATCAATACATGCATCCTTATCAAGGTGAATTAGTAGTGAGTCATTGTTATTCATGATGTGACGTGGTTTCCTATGTTTTTTCGTAGCGATCTTTTAGCATATATTTGGTGTAGAATGCTAGGTAAGGAGGGTAAGTCGATCGATGAGGCTGTGCAGCTACATTGACTGAAATGACTAGGACACATGTTGAGCATGTAGAGCCACCGCTGTTTTCGACAAGCAGTGTTAGTTGACATAGGGTTGGGTTGGAAAAAAGTTAGGGCGGGGTTTGAACCAAATCCTGGCATCAGTCAATGAAGTCTTTGATAGTTGGTAAAAGCCACGTAGGGGAGGGGTGTAGACTGGCTACTTGTGGTCCTCAGCATGTTGAGAACCAATTGCTGTAGACTATTGGTGATATGGCTCAAAATCGTTGTCAGTGATGCAAATGCACTCACTTATTGTGATCTCTGATATATCCACTAAACCGCCATTTTTTCATATGTTACTGTTCTTTCTTCCGGATATTTCAGCTTATTATTGTTCTTTTGAATCTGTTTTTTTGAATCTCTTTTCTCTGTCTTTGTGTGCTGCATGGCATATGGCAAGGTTCTCTATTGAAATTCACTCAGTCAGCAGATGTTTGACTGTAGTCTACTGACAAAAATTCCATACTGCTTATTTTATTTCCCCAAGACTTTTGTCTAGTGTTGGATTAGATCAGTTCCTTGGTTGATGAGTTCTTCATACTGAACTTTTAGACCAAGATCTGTATTAGTTGTTGAGTCATCGTAACCTTATTATTACTAATATAATTTTACAATCACCATTATTATTTATTAAGAACGTTCCAGTTTTCATATAGATTTTATATAAAAATTTACTGTCTTTCCATTAGTTTTTGTCCACTTTGCACATTTATATTGATTAGTCATTTTTCACACCTATTACGTAATTTCAACCCTTGCCACTTTTTCTAACCCCCACCTAGTCATCCCCTTCTAGATTATTACACCTTGCATCATGTAATGTATTTCCTAGGACAAAGTTACCAGCGTCTCAGTGGTTTTTATAAATTCTATGCTAACTATGAGTAGTACAATTGCTCAGCTCATGAAAATAATTCATCTTAAAGAAAATTTTATTCGCTATTTACGTGTTTCTTTTGCTTAGAAATCACTGAAGTTCCCTTTTTCTATACATTACACTTTTTTATTTAGGAAAGTTGTCAAATCAACAAGTCCTTATTCACTCTTGGCAAGGTTATCACACAACTTTCTCAAAATGCTGCTAACAATAAAAGACCTATGACAATTACAGAGCCAAGATCAGCTCCTCGAAATGTTCCTGCTCCAGTGATTTCAGTTACTCCGTGTCGATTAATGAATAAAAGAAAAGATTTTGTTTCTTATCGGGATTCATTACTAACCTGGTTTGTTTTGGTTAAATATATAATTGATGTTGCTTTTATTATGATTATTATTATTTTTTAAAAGATATTACGATTACTGTTTACACTTGTATGATGAAATGGTATTGTAAATTTAATGCACACTAGTTATAATTACATTTTTTAAGTTATATTGTTAGAATTCAATTCTTGGATAGGTGTGGTTCAAATTCGTCGACATTGATGGCTGGCTGGATTCAACATAGAACTTGGCACCGAAGTGCAGCAGTTCGAGTTGCCACGTTCCAAATAGCACACAAAGGTAGACAAGAAGATGAGTGAAGAGAATCAGTATAGTTTTGATAAGTATAGGAGTGGAACAGAATGAGTAATGGTAGAAAGGAATATGAAAGATTACAGAAACTGAATACATCTGCGCCATTGACAACGATTTTGAGCCATGTCACCCATTGTCTCCAGTCATTGATTCTTAGAGTCCCGAGGGCCCCAACCCGGAAGTCTGCATCTCCCTACATGACTCAGTTTAACTGTCAGGGATTTCATGGATTGATGCCATTGTCTACATTGATGACAATATATCTACTATCTACTACTTTCAGAATTCACTACTCTTCACTAAATGCATTAGCTCATTGTAGTATCACTATGTTTCTTTTCTCTGGTTTTTCTTTTCATATGCTTCTTTCTAGTAAGTTAGCCTGAACTGTTGCACATTTTTTCTAAGTTTTATGTTGTATTCATCAGTCCAGGTCTAAAAAACCTGGGTAGTATCACTTTCTCTTACGCAATAAGTGTGGTTTTTAGCGTGGTTACTACGCTCTAAATAACTAAGATGAGTAGGCAAACTATTTTCTTAAACTGAGTTATTGTGTAACAGCATTGGTGGTTTGTAAGTAGAATGCTCACCAGACATGTGGGAGGTCTGGGTTCGATTCCCAGCCATCGCACTCTTAACCTCACCTAATTTACTAGCCGATAGTAGTAATCTCTAAAAAGAGTGAAGTTTGAGCATAGAAATAACACCATCGTCAATGAGACTTCAAAGCTCCAAACCCCTTGTTCCACTCGGAACGAAATCTATATTGAAATTAATCCAAATCCCTGAATGAACCCATTTTTTGATCATAAGTCTCCACCTCATTATTGTCTACTGTGTGTATGTGCTAAAACTGTACTGAGAATTTGTGGCCAATGGGGTCCACAATATCAAGGTGATGTGGATGCTTATCATAATGTATTGATCGATGGTGGCACAGAAGTTAGAATTCACAGGTCATTGAATTCTAGCCCGACTGACTGCGACCAGTCAACGACCTTGGCCTTGTAACCTGAAGGTTCTGGGTTCGACCCCTGGTAGGGTCGTGAATGCTCACTGCTGAAGATTGCCAAACACTAGGTTGAAGCAGCTGTCCAGAGCCCCATAATTTCTAATGATCTTTAACTGGTATTTGTTTGTGACGAAATCTACATTCCTATTGAATAAACGACACTACTTAACAGATAATTGTCGGAAAGACATGGAGTGATATACGCGTTTCTCCTGGTTTTATTGCAATATATGTTATTCTTCACCATATTTTCTTTGTTTCTGAAGTTTCAAATACATTTTGGGGGTTAGTGCTAGTACAGAATACTATAAATACCACTGTAATCGAACGACTATATACAAGTTTATGTACTTGGTTATAGGTTACATTTATTTTGTAAGAGATATATCCCTGTGAGGATGTCAATTGATTGTGAGTTGAATGTCCAGTCCTATTTTCCAATGTTCAACTCAGAAATGCGAAGATAAGTTCATGAAATTGAGCCACAACTTACATAAATGAAAGTCTCATTCAAGTGTTGGTTTGTAGGGATTTGATTGATTGGTTACAGGATTTCATCATTAGTTAACATCGGTTAGAGAGCCATTGGAAAACCTGCAGGGAGTACTGGTCAACAGTTTCGTCCTAGTTTGAGACTCTTCATTAGTACGTACCCACCGGGGTTCGAAACCAGGACCTTCTGGTTGCAAGACGAGCTCGTCTAATGGTTCTCCAACTGATGTCAGCTCATGATGAAATCCTGTGACCGAAAATCTTTTTGTTATTGTCTGTTTTCCTTACGGGAAAAATTGTGATGAATGTGTATGTTTTCAGATAAATCAGGTGTTGATTTAGATATTGAATGAAACATTTTACTTAAAAGTGACTACACCTCATTAAATGGAATAAAGGATTCAGAGAAAAAAATGCGACAATTTCAACTGCTGACAGCATTTCAAGGAGACCTAACATTTATATCCTTATGCTGAGATTAAAAAATTATGATTACATCAGTCAGCAAGCATATCTCTTTTCGTATATTCACTTCAAAGCTGCACAGTTATTTAGTGTGTGTGTGGGGGTTATATACTGTGTTAATTGACAACAAAGACCAGAGGTTAGTGTCAGTTAGTAACAGAAGAAGGTCAAAGTGTATAAGGAATAAAAATTTGTGAAAAATAGTGAGTCTATCTTACGTAATCGAGAGGATTTTTTTTCCTTCACGTTTCCCAGTGGAACATAGGGCTTCAAGCTAGTGGCTTGAAGTTTCTGTAGCAGTGTTTATTAATTTACAGGATGGGGTTGCTAGCCTCATGCCCAACCTTTCCTCTTCACCAGCATTATTTCTGACTTAGCGAGGTAGAGGAGTGCGTCGGCTGGGAATCGAACCCCGGACTATGTACATGGTCGGCGAGCGTCTTAACCGCTATGCCACCGACGCACAATCGAGAGGATTGACACCTATAATTAGTTAAGTGATAAATAATCCTTTGATAGGAGGCAAAATAACAAAGGATTGAAATCTGGGTAACAAAAATAAAAACACTACAACGCACAGTTTATTATGCAACAATTCAGGGAAATAAAACTGACACTGAGGCCGTTGTAGTAAAAAAAGAAAGTCGGATAAATGTTTCTGAACACAAAGTTACGGTTTTTTCCCTGTGGATTGTCAAAGCTTTGTCTACATATGAAGAAGATTTAAGTGAATTCCTGTTGAACGGCTTAATCTTACTTTACATTATGTGAGTGTGAATAAATTCTCTGCTGATGATGCTACGCGATGAGAAGTAATTATATACCTCACGGCATACCTTGAGTTCCATAGTTTCCCAATCAAACACCAATCAATTCAAAATTTACGGGCGAGAAATGGATGATAAGAATTGAATGTCTCTTATTTTCTATTTCGTCATTTTTATTCCACCTATTATCTTTCTCATTTATTTTGGTCATGTTGTTCTGTTACTTCTTTTTTTCCCAATAGGCTACTGAAGGATAGTTTAGGAGGGAATGCAATAACTGTAATGCTGGCAACAATCAGTCCGTGTATTACTCATTACGATGAAACATTGAGTACCTTACGGTAAGATCTGTTTCATAATTGAAATTTCATGCCATTAAAACTTTTTTTACGTCGAAGGAATTTGCATGACCCTATAGCTTTGGGAAATTGATGAGATGAGTGGCGAAAATGTAAACATTCGCTATAAATATTCTAATTCGAGTGATTTCTTTAAATATTCTATATTCTTATTTGAACCAATAAGCTTTAGTGACCTACGTGATTCAACTAGAAGTTGTTTCAGTAAAATAACTTATGAATTTATTGTTCTTTTGCAAGTGAAACAGTATTAAATAATACTGTTTCACTGTGTGATATACCTAATAAACAAACTAATATGGAGGCTATGTTTTGGTTTGACCACCACTAGTTCTTTTCAAACCTGATCCTATGTCAGCTAACATTGCCCGTCGAGGAAGACTATGGTTGGGGATGCGAAACATATGTCCTAACTATCTCAATCGGTGTAAATTCACAACCTCGTCGATTGACTTTCCCTCCTTACCTAGCACTCGACGCCTAACCTCAATATTATTCACCCTATTATACCACGATAGATAGAATGCGGACACCTATGGTCAAAGACAGCTAGCCTTTTCACGTCTTCCATTTTATCAATGGCCATGTCTCACTCACATCCATAAATGAGAACGGAGCAAATTGATGCACCAGTACACAGTACGAAACAGTACCTAGGAAGAAATACACAATCTTGATTACACTGCTGGTTACCACCCACCAAAATGACATTGTGTGCATATTATCCAATGTGTAAGCTTCAGAAGAGTAAGAAAATGCATTGTGTGTTACAACAGCAATTCATTCTCTTTAGCCGCGTAAAATCGATGGTATTTTATTACATCAAATTATTATTGAATAGCTGAACATACTTGAAAAAGTCATCCAGTCAGTATGATGTTCGACATTAGGATCCACCGATGACCTTGAACGCATACCATTCGTTGGATTACAGGACCTACCGTTATTACAATGCCAGTAAAAACGATGTGAATGAATTGATGTGCAGATTTTATTCTGATCTTGTTTCTAGGTACTGCTTTGACAGTGGGTTGATAACACTTTAGGGTTGCGATCAGGGTTAAAATTGTGGTTACGATTACGATATACGTCAACTTGAGTCACCTCTGGCGCCGTCGCGACGTTAGCCTGGCTGTCAAAGGTCGGGTATACAATGCTTCGGTGCGGGCTGTCTTGCTCTACGTCTGTGAAACCTGGCCTCTCCGAGCTGAGTTTATGCGGTGACTCTGCGTGTTCGATCATCGCTGTCTCCGCAGGATTGCTTGCGTTCGATGGCATCACCGCGTGAGTAATTCTGAGGTTCGGCGGCGTGTGTTTGAACACAGTGGAGATCACCATTCATTGAGTGTCTTCATCTGCAAACACCGGCTCCGGTGGCTGCGAACGTCATCCCAGAGGCTTCCGTACAGGTCTCTGTTCGCTAGCCCTGGGACGGGATGGAAAAGGCGGAGGGGTGGTCAGTCCATGACGTGGCGTCGTGGGATGAAGGATATTTGTGCTAGATTAGCATAGGTTGGTGCGTCACGACTCTCTGGTTGGGGTCCGCGAGATAGCTCGAATCGATGACTCGAAACGTTATCGGATATGGCCAAGAATCGTAATCAAAGGCGAACGTGTTGCGATTTCCTTCTTTCTTCCCTTCCTGATGATAGTTAACGAATACTGTTTGAACTTGCTACAAATGACTGTTTTCCTTCCAGATGAAGTTCTTTTTCCGTTTTCTACTTATATTTTTACTTTTGATCTATGTTGTTTTACTATTATTGTGTGGCGCATCTTTCTTGGTGCCATATTGTACCAAGTTTTTCTTCTGCGTTTAAATAAATAAATAAATAAATAATAAGGCTAGGGTAAGGATTGGGACTAAGGTAAGAATTAAGGTTAGGGTGTATTATTATTTTTCTCATAAATAAGTAGATGAGAAGAGAGTGTTTCGTTGTTCATATAGATGAAACCATTTTGATATCTATGAAACTTGAAAACCGTTACTGCGAAGTATTTTTCAGTTACATGGGGGGTGGGGGTGGGGTGAAATATCGTCTTTAGTGTGTTTCATTTCTTCGCGTAAATAAACGTCGTTCTGACGTAGAATACACAGCAATCTTTATAATCCAACAAATGGCATGGTGATTGTTGCGTTCGTACTCCGTGGTTGCTATTCTTTATGTTTTCCCCATTGTTTTATAATTGAATTCGTAAGTAATTTCCACATCATGCAGTATAACTGGAATTTATGCACAGAATCTAGCCAGGATTGTAATTTTAATCATAAAACCAGGAAATCAGATAGTCAGTATGCTAACCCCATAAGGTAATCAGTTTACACATCTGAAGCATACTCAGACACACAGCATAGTATTATTTATCTAATATTGAATACAGTGTATACCGAATATCTTTCATCAGTTAGATTCTTAGAAAAAATACTTTTTAATGATACCGCTTTACAGTAACATAACGAAGACTATTATGCGTTATTATTGCGTTTAAATAGCCTTTTTTAAACAACATCAGTGTAGTCAAATGTTTTTTGCAGCCACTACATTAATTTTTTTAAAATTATGTTTTTGTGTTTTTCAGTTATGCTAAGAAAGCTTCATCTATTGTTAATTCAGCAGTGGTCAATGAAGATCCGAAAAGCCGGTTAATTCGTGGTAATTTATGAGAATATATTTGTTGTATGTATCATAATTATATATATGCACCAATCACTGAATTTTTCCTATCTATCTGATTACATCATTTTAGTCATTCCAATAATCTTTTCTTTTTAGCTATCCCTCATTGAAGCTTTTATGTTTCAAGTTTAAATTAAAAGGTTAAAACTGGTTTTGTTATTTAACTTGTCGAAATAAATGGGATGTCGCGTCGTTGGTTCACTGGTAGAACACTGGCCGACCAAGCAAGTGGTCTGGCGTTCAATTCCTGGCCGATGCACTCCTAAACCTCGCTCAGCTGGTAGTAAGTCCAGTAAAGAGGGAAGGTTGGGCATGAGGCTAGCAACCTCATCCCGTAACAAAACGGCGACTGCTACTTAAACTTCAAAGCTCTAGCCTGAAGCCCTATGTTCCACTAGGAACGCGAAGGAATAAAATAATCATAATGATAATAAATAATGGTAGAGAGTAATTTGTAATATGTAAAATGTTAGATCACGAATTCATATTGTTTAGAGAACCTATTGAAAGTTAGCATGTACTGGACAATTGTTTCGTCCTAATCTGGGACTCTTCATCAGTCCGCATTTGTAACCACACAGGGGATATATATGTATATATGTACTGATTATTTTTACATGTAATATAGTTTGTTGTTACATATTAGAGTACTGGCTGCTTCATTTTGTAGTCAACTTTGCTATCAATCGAGAATACATAGATCAACAAAGGAAGAAATATTCTTTTCGTTACTGCGCTTCGATACCATACAGTTATATAGTGTTGTTGTGGTAAACCTGAAATTCAAAGGTGAGACGACAGCTGAAATTTTTCGAAGCAGATTATCAACAGCTTTACTGAATACATTCTTTGCTGCATCTTTACGTCCCACCTTCTCTACACAACCTTTGACTCATCAAAATATCAATCACGATGTTCTGCTGCTAGGGACATCCATGTGTGTATATATATCAGTTAACTTGCTCCTGTTGAGCTAATTACATATCCCTTACAAGTAGAATACACAAACACGTACACACATACACAAAAACATCTTTGAATATGGTTGTTAAAAGGAAAACTTAGACAAACCAATAGTTCAATTCTTGAGCATCTTGTTTTTTAAAAAATTATTCCGCATTATTAGAAAAATCTTCTAAATTGATATATAAGGTTATTCCAAGTTGGTCGACGGGTCTCCGACTACATCTTCTATCCACAGAAGAAGCTCTTGCTATACACAAGGAAAACCTGAACACGTATACAGAAGGGGTTAATGTAATCCCTTTTAAGTACCATGGCCTTAAACTTTCGTACAATAAGTTGCTTGGCATGTCTTTGTCTTATTTCTTCCTTTCACAAACTCCTAACTTTAAAATATACTTTATGGACATTCTGAATCTCTTGCACATCTGAACAATGATTTTGTTTCCAAGAGCTTGGCATTTTTTATTTCTTGATAGTAACCGTTTTTGAGCGATGATCACCATTTATATTTTTTAGATTACGTAATTTATTATTTCTCTTGTCCATATATGAATGATGTGGACAAAACTTACCTTATAGGCGATTCCCTAACCTTTATAGTGCACTATACCACTCACTGTACAGCTTTGAAGTGAATTTACGAAAAGAATATTCTTCGCTGACTTTTGATTTATGTCCCTATTTGTTAAACGCTGAGCTGCATCATACTTTCACTCTGTGTATAATTTATACCTTTGATGATAAGTTATTACGATCATTTGTGAGACATTTCTAACTTCTTGATGAACAATAATTTAGTCTGGGATGTTAAAGTTTAGTTTCATTTGTTATGTACGATGTTATTCCGGATTGGTTTAACGAAACGGGGGATATCTTCACTATTTAGAGTGGTTTGTAACGAATATTTTAATTCAATTCTACTGGGGGGGGGGGGATCACTCAGTTAGCAAATGCAATGCATTATGTGTTGTATTTGAGTGATTGTTATTTTAGCTGATTAAAAATGCCCATTAAAATTTTCAAAAGAATGGATACTGAACAAAGAGTACTTTTTTCGATAACTTCATCATCAGGCTCTACAGTTATATATACATTATAGTGAATGAATGAATTAGTGTTCTGAATGTTTAAATAGCATCGAATCAATAGTAATATCAATGGATTGCAGTTCGAAAGCATCGACATAAAATAAGCTGAATGTCAGAAAATTAGGAAAGATAATATTACAAATTCATGAATTTATAGTCTCTACTGAAGAATGCCAGGGCAGTAGTAGGGGCTGAACTTGCTCCTTTTGAACACAGAGCACTGGTTGTTTGAAGCGAATTGCAATAGCCTCTGCTGTTTGGAGCATGCGGTGCTTCGATGATTTTGGCAATTTATTAGGCACCCGGTAGATGATAGAGAAGGATTCTTCCACGCTGGCTTTATGGCCGGTTCGCACCAGATGGTCTAATATCGAACTGTTAATGGTTTCACTACACCTTTACTTAGCCATAGTGGGATATGTTCTCGAGCACGAAAAATCAAGTTCCTGGAGCAACGGTCAATATAACTCTCTCCACTACAAGCGCAGTTGAATTGGTAGATACAATTTGAAGTGGCTAGTCTAGGTACTTGATCTTTCAGTCGAGGTAGCACCATCGTGTTATTTTGTTTCATGTTTTTTTCCTTCTAGCAGAGCAGTGTTTGATTGCTTAATTTACCATGGTTTGGTGTTAAAACACTCACCAAATACACAATTAGTCTTGGGTTCGACCCTCGGCAGACACACTCCCAGATCTCGCTTAACCAGTAGTAAGTTGGGTAAAGAGAGAAGGTATGACGTGAGGCTACCACTACAACTAAAACTTCAAAGCTTATGGTTGAAGTCCTACTTTCTACTCGGAACTCAAGGGAATACAATGAATTAAATAATACACTCTGTGAAATGACACCACCATGTAACACAGTTAATGTTGTTTTTGTTTGTTTTTTTCACAATTTTAAAGAATATGAATTTCTTTAAATTCTTTCATAGAATTAATGTCAGAAATACGTGCATTACGTGCAAAAGTATCATCAGTTTCATGTGAGTCTGGTACAAGTCAAGCATATGAAATGGCTAAACTAAAAGAATTAATTTCACTCCGTGAAGATGATGTTCATCAATTACGAAGGTATGTTGGATTTGTCTTTTAATCCTTTTTTTTTCGATAAAAAGATAAAACACAAAATAATCGAGCAAAGAATATTCTTTTCGATAAATTCCTCTTCCAGGCTCTACAATTATATATATGTTTATATACACAGAATATTTTAAATTAGTAGTTAATAGCAATATTAGCGTTTTTTAAATAATATCGATTTGTAAAGTTTGATCAATGCTATTGCAGTTCGTTAAAGATGCTTAAATTATAATAATAATAATAATAATAATAATAAAGATATAACAGCGAATAGAATATCAACTAAAATTAGGGAAATTTCACAAAAATTCTGGATTATTCAAACCTGGATGGCCAAGGTAATGATAACGACTGAACTAACTTCTTTTGGGTGTATAAATTAGGCTTATTAATATGGATCCCCACAGCCTCAGCAATATTTAGAAGTCGAACTCTTAAAGCGAAATTGAGATTCGTAGGAATGCGGGAAATGACCCTGAAAGCATGATTAACGTCAATCTTGTGTTCTGTCTCCACAAGATGAGCCAGAATAGCGCTGTGAATAGATTTTGTTTGTCCTTTGCTTAACCGAGCAGAGTGATGTTCGGAAAATCGACGCGAAACACGCCTAATTGTACGGCCTATGTAACTGGCTCCACAGGAGCAGTTAAATTGGTATATACACATGGAAGAGGCGAAATTAGGCAGTTTGTCTTTTATTCCCGAACGCAGAAGAGGAGTGGTTTTAAAGATACAGCGTAATTGAGCAGCAGGGAATGCTCTTTTTACCGCATTTCTAAGGTGCTGTGTTAGTATCTCACTGGTGTTGTCTCCTAGGAACTGCATCTGTAAGAACAAGGCCTTTTTTGGAACTGTTGGTAACTTGGGCTGTTTTGGTTTCAGATTCATGTTCTTATCAATAAACTTCTCAGGATAACCATTTTCACTTAGCAACTGTTTAATATTATTAAGTTCTTCATCAAGACATTCGTCCAAGCAAATTGCTCTTGCTCTATGGACCAAGCACTTTATCAGATTGCGTTTGTATTTCAAGGGCACGAAGCTGAGAAAATGTGTATACTGACCCGTTGATGTAGGTTTTCTATATACACTTCTTATTGTGCCATTCTCTTTTCTGGTCATAAGGACGTCTAAAAATGAAATACTGGAATCGTTTTCTTTCTCAATAGTAAAATTTATTGCAGGATGTACCTCATTAAATTTATCCAGGATGTTCTTTACTTCCTTTTCGTTCTTCATAATCAAAAAAGTATCATCCATGTATCGACAATAAAACTTCGATTTCATTAATAACATCTTTCAAAGGCCCATTTTCTAGTTTCGCCAGGAAAATGTCGGCTAGAATGGGCTAGAATAATATATATAATATTATTCGAGTACATTAAACAACTTCTTGTACAGTTTTTAGCGTGTAGCTAGTTAGCTAAAGGTGTGCACAACTTTCGCTTGAGAGCTAAACCCCAACTCACCCCACCTCCCTGAAATCCGACTTGCATAAAGTAGTCAATAGGATCCTACTCTCATGCATATCGATTGTGACTCATATCTCTTTGTGAGTTGTATTACTTTTATTATTATTATTATTATTTTTTGAATACTGATCCTTTCGTAATTCATAGTATATGATATAGTTAAATTGTTTCCCATGAAAGTCATCAACAATATCTGAAATCACAGGGAAAGAATGCAGTTCTCATGTAATCTGATGAATCAGGCTTAAAATATGGAAGCCCATGTGTTTCAGTTTGTGCAGTATGCGGTTGAAAAGTGCATATTGGTGCATAGTATTTATTACGAAGAGGAAATTGCTTCAGGCTTATAAGAATAGAACTTGGGCACTGTGTGGTAGAGTATACTTCTATTATCGATAGCATTTATTTTGATATAGTCTCACGGTGTTGTACAGTAATATTTACTGATGATCACGTTTCGAGCACAATTTATTGCCGCTCATAATCATGTTAAGTTACTCACAAAACTTTCTAACTTCGTTTATATAATTACATTATTTTTCATCACTTGATTTGATTGGTAGTAGTATTTTGATAAAGCAATAAGAAGACGTAATTTGTTTGAATCGTGTAATGTATTTGCGCAACAACACATTTCGAACAATCTGATCACACACGGACTTGTCATAGGAATATATATGAAATTAATAAAGAGTTAAGAGGTGAGAAAATAGACTTAAGTCAAGTTAAAAGGACATATTCAAGGTCAAAATAACAATGAAGACCACTAAACTAAATAGCAGAGATAATAGTACATCTGCTATGGTATCAAAACAAAATTTACCAAGGAAGGTTTAATGTGATGACGAATTGTTTTTGAACGCATAAAGGTGGTTTAAACTTTCTAATTGCTAGCTAGGACCTCCACAAACTTTAGGATACGCCCGAAACACGTTTTATAGATAGGTTTAAAAGATCTGTTAACGTAGTATTTTTCATATCTATGGCATTGGTGATGAGTCATTCCCATTGCATTTATTGGGTGTAGATTCAATGAACAAAGACATAGTAATCAACCTCTCTCTCCACCTACTTACATTACTTTTTAGAATTTTAACCCTCTTTCACCCTTTTGTGTGGTTGTGTGTTAATGCATACAGTGCAATTTAGAGAAAAACTTGGCAATTGTACTACATGCATTGACGAACAACCACACAATAGGGTGCTTGTCAAGGATGCCCATTATCTCCATTTCTATTCAACTTCATCATAGATGTACTAATGGACTTAACCCTAACTCACTTCAGCGACTCAGGGATTGACTTGCTACCAGGGAATAATCTCGTTGACTGAGAGTATGCATACGATATAGTCCTTGTAGATGAAGACGCTGACAAAATAGTCTTCTGAACACCTTGAGCTGCAATCTACGAATGTTTAGCATGCGATTCGCTCCCGCCAAATGCAAGATGATGTTACAGGATTGGACTACACCGACTCCTAGATTAGAAATAGGAAGTGAAGTGGTAGAGCACGTTGACCGCTTCACTTACTTGGGAAGTACCATCAGCCCCAACGGGTTGATCTCTGACGAAATCTCAGCACGGATACAGAGGGCTAGTTTCGCATATACCAGTTTACGCCGTCTCTGGCGTAGACGTGATATCCGCCTATCGACTAAAGGGTGTGTGTACTGCTCATCAGTCCGCTCCGTCCTCCTTTATGGCTGTGAGACCTGACCATTGAGAGTGGAAAACATGAAAAGTCTGGCTGGGTGTCTTTGATCATAGGTGCCTGCGTTCTATCTCTCGTGTGAAGTGGTATAATAAGGTGAGCAATATTGAGGTTAGACGTCGAGTGCTAGGTAAGGAGGGGAAATCAATTGACGAGGCTGTGAAGTTACATCGACTGAGATAGTTAGGACATGTGTTACGTATGCCTAGTCATCGCCTTCCTCGACGGGCAATGTTAGTTGGCTGATATAGAGTCAAGCTGGAAAAGAGCTAGCAGCGGTGAAACCGAAACATGGTACCAGTCAATGAAATCCACAACAGTTAGTTTAAGCCAGCCACGTACGAAGGTGTAAACTTCCTGGTTGGGGTCATCGGGACGGTAAAAACCAATGGTTGGAAACAATTGGTGACATGGCTCAAAATCGTTCTCAATGGCCGTCGCAGATGCATCCACTCCTTGTGACTTAGGATTTCCAATTAAACTGTTTTGCTCTCCGTTATTTACTATTCCTTTGTCTCACACCTCTGTTTACTGTCTCTATTATACATTTCTTCTCTTGCTTTGTGTGGTACATGGAGTGTGGCGACTTGAACTGCCGCACATATGTGCAAAGTTCTATGTCGAAAACAGACCGACAATAGGGTGGGACAGAGTTACAGTCCTAAAAAGTAATGTATGTAGGTGGAGAGAGAGAGAGGTTGATTACTAAATCTTTGTTTATTGAATCTACACCCGACACATCCAATAGGAATGACTCATCACCTATACTAGAGATACGGAAAATACTACTACCAACCAATACGCAGTATGCTCAATCTGTCAAACAATGTATATGCAATATCGTAAATCATTCATTGGGAAATACAAAAAAAACCTTTATTATAATGCTCACACTTTTTCAAACTGTTAAAAGTGAACTTAGTTTGGACATATATAAGGTCATTTCCCGTTGATTGATTATGCTGGACTGAGATGTCCGCTGTGTTGACATGTCGTGGCCCTTGTGTGTAATACTTTGACATTTGGAATGATGAGTTCAGGGTTCCAGTCCCAGTGAAAACAACAGCACTCTCACTGGGAATGAAGACACATCTAGCTGATGAGTCCCAAGCAGGACGAAACGCGCATCGTGGATTCCACCAAGCAAAATAACTTCGTATTCAGCCGCGTTTATCAACTAAAAGCAAAGACTAGCGAAATATTTTACAATTAGTAATAAGTCTGTGTCATTTACATCATATGATTTATTACTGAAATATCTACTGTTTATGTGTAAAGATGAATAAGTATGAAACACGCCCAGCCTCCCATTTTTTACGGGTTGGCTTACGAGTGAGTCGGCTAGGAATGGGACCCGGACCTCTTGCATGACTGGTGAGTATTCTGCCATTGAACGACCTATGCTATGCAGCTTACTCTTTCGTCTATGTTCTTCTTTTTCTGAGTCGAATTTTGTCAGCTGGTTACGTGGAATTGTATTCGGTGGGATGGTGGTTAGCAATGGAATCCAGGATGCAGCCCGTCAGCTGGACATACCTGCAATCTCTAGTGTGTGATTGTATTCCCAAATAGGATGATGAATAGGACGCCTCATCCTAGACTCTTCTGCTAGTCACTATACACCAGATGATATCAGGTTAATTGTCAGGCATCGTCGAAACGTCCGTACTAGGAGCGCTGACATATCAACAAAAAGACCAAACATTTCGGTCCAATATAATCACAGTCAACGGGAAATAAATAATTAACAGGTGGAATTATATTTAATTGGTGGATGGTGACTAGCAGTGGAATCCAGGATGCGCATTTAGTCCTATTTGGGACTGGTCAGTTGGATGTACCTGAATTTCTCAGTGAGTGATGATGTTCCCACTGAGGCTCAAACCCAGTGGAATTATAATTCAGTGTTTTCAAAGTCATAGTCGTTCATTACTTTGATTTGCTAAACAGTTATAGAGTTTCTTCTCAATCTACAATTATTCACTGTTTTTATTTTCTATTATCTTCTAAAGGAGACTAACTGATCGTTTCCCCCCGCACAGAAGTAAGTCTACGGAGATCGCCACTATCACACCTGAACGATGCAAATCAACTCAAACTTCAGTAGAATTGTATTCTGTTGAACCGAATCCATTGTTTCAAGTTTCCACTAATTCACTTTTCAATGAAAACGGTAGAAGTCTAATGTTAGTGTAATTATTAATATTAACGTTTTTATTTTACTGTATATGTTAAACGTCTTGATGTGCTTCCTTGTTTAACATTTATCTCAGTGATTCTGACAGCAGGTTGTCTTGTAAACCCATTGTTCTGTATTCCAGTTAGTGGATTGATATGTTAAAGGGTTTCATCTCCGAAATTTCTACGTATTTACTCAATCTACAGCACTATTTAGCTGTTCGCTTAGGTTACTTGTATGAACGCTTATAACCAGCCTCAAGTAGGTGCCGGGTGGAATGTGCAACTGTCTAAAAATAACCTTTTTTGTCCGTTGAGTAAAAAGAGTAAATATTGACTCCCACAGTGCTGGCTTTTTGTAAGAGTCAAAAACCTATATATCCCTGAAGGCTCGCCTAAACACCAATCGTAATCCTTGGTTCTTCATTCCGTTGATTGGTCGGTTTAAAAAAAACTGTAACTGTAAATGTTATGGTGGGGTTAGACAGGATTGCCCAATCTCCCTCTATTTCTCTTTAACTTTGCCGCCGATGACATTCTGGATGGAGTCCGCTCTGAAGAATTTGCGTTGTGGTGCGTAAATCTACTTCCTGGAGAAAAAAAATTTTCCACCTCGAATATGCAGACGATATCATCTTACTGTGTGAAAGCATGCAGTTTTCCAAAACCGCAGTTAGACAGTTTTCGATTAGTGTCTATAAATGTGGTGTGTGCTTTGCACCGTCTAAATGCAAAGTGTACTGTTGCGAGGTTGGCAGGAACTTGTACTTGCACCAACCCTTATAGATGAACCGCTTGAAGTTGTCGAGAAGTCCGTGTATATCTAGGTAGTTGCGTGAACGCTGGCGGGAGTGTGACAGATGAGATCTCTAACCGTATAATGAAAGCTAGGGTGGCATACACCAATTTTGGCCACCTCTGGCGCCATGGCGATGTTAGCCTGGCTGTCAAATGTTAGGTTTACAATGCTTTGATGCTCACTGTCCTGTCTTGCTCTACACCAGCGAAACCTGGCCTCTCCGAGCTGAGGATATGCTGCGTCTCTGCGTATTCGATCATCGCTGTCTCCGTAGAATTGCTCACGCTTGTTGGTATTACTGTGTGAGTAATTCTAAGGTCCGGCGGTGTGTGTTTGGACACAGTGGAGGTCACCATTCATTGAGTGTCGTCATCTGGAAACACTGACTTCGGTGGCTTTGACGTGTATTGCAAATGTCATTCCAGAGACTTCTGTACCTGTCTCTGCTCTCTGTGATGTTATTGATGTTCTAAACGTGTTAACTTACATATTGACACAAAAATGGATACTTGTTTATTTCCTTTTGAAATTGTATTTTCCACTCGATTCAGTTCAGTTTGAACTGAATTATTCGGATTAAATGTTTCATGTACTAGGGTATGAGTCAAATGCATCATATGAGGGCTGATAATACTACTTCACTTGCCTATCACCTATTGTCTGAAAACCAAGTGTATAAGCCAATGGGTCACATCTCCACTCGATTCACTAGTTTAGATTAAATGGAAATTGTGGATATTTAAAAGAAAAAATAATGTTCATCAGAACAGTGTCTGACTTTGATTGCTCGTTGTTATCTAGAAGACACTGTTGGGCCTTGGGTTCTGGGCGGTGGGGGGGTTGGGGGGTTGAATTACCAAAGCTTAAATGCATTAGGTCATACAGGTCTGCTATGCAATGTGGAGTTTAATTGATGTCCATTGTAGATACCTCAGTGAAACTGTTAAAAGTCATATGAGCCACTGTATATATGCTGGATGTGATACTCTAGGGTATCTCAGTCTTAAAATAAATGAGTCGTTTATCTGCTGATTACATTCATGTACAGTGATCTTTATATATATATATATATATATATATATATATATATATATATAATCATAAGAATGGATAACTGGATATTGTTCCCAACTGTTAGAGACCTGTTCATTGAAAGTGGAAGACATGAAAAGATTAACTGTCTCTGGTTATAGGTGCCTGCGTTCTATCTCCCGTGTGAAGTGGTATAATAGGGTGAGCAATATTGAGATTAGGCGTCGAGTGCTAGGTAAGGAGGGTAAATCAATCGACGAGGCTGTGAAATTACATCGACTGAGATGGTTAGGTTAGTCATCGCCTTCCCGACGGGCAATGTTAGCTGACCTAGGGTCAGGCTGGAAAAGAGCTAGCGGTGGTCAAACCAAAACATGGCACCAGTCAATGAAATCCACAACAGTTAGTTTAAGCCAGCCAGCCACGTAGGGAGCTGCAGACTTCCAGACTGGTTGGGGTCCTCGGGACAGTAAAAACCAATGGTTGGAAACAATTGGTGACATGGCTGAAAATCGTTCTCAATGGCCGGCGCAAATGCATCCACTCCTTGTGACTACTTATAATTTCCAATGAAACTATATTGTTCTTTATTATTACTATTCTTTTGTCTCATATCCCTGTCTACTGTCTCTGTTATACATTTCTTTTGCTTTCTTCTCTTGCTTTGTGTGCTACATGGAGTGTGGCAACTTCAAGCGCTGCACATCGGTGCAAAGTTGTATGTCGAAAGCAGACAGACAGGCAGTTATCTGATGGATTCAATTAGCTAGAATAATATAATTTACCAAATCCCATGTAATGACTATGTGGTCAATTATATAGGTCAAACTAGTAGATCGGAGTCGGTTAGATTATCTGAACATAGATATTTGGCTAGATCTAGATTGACTGACTTCGCAAAGTTAAATAATCTGGAAAAAGCTCATCCATCACGATGCATTCACTTGCATGTAATCACATAATTGGATAGGATAGGATAGGATAGAAGTAATAAAAAGCAAATGTGGTTAGGTGAAGATAGACAGCTTAATCACTGAATCTTTGTTTTTCATCGAATCAACAATAAACACCAGCAATCAAAATGACATGATTGTGATAAAGTAATCAATTTGTCTCTTCTGTTAATTGAATTCACTTCCGCTGTATTGTTTAATATTTATATTTATCTTAGTAAAACACCATTACGCTTAAAGAATGAAAACAATGTAGCAGCAGATTCTCAAGATTCAGAAGAATTAAATTCACAGTTTCCTGCTACATCACCACCACCACAACCACCATTGCCGTCTACATGTGATGTTCCCACTTCTATTGGTCATTCTTTATTGTGTAGTCCAGAGAAACATTGTCAACTGATTGAACAAATTGACAATTTAAAGTGTTCTTTGAAATCTGTACAGGATAATTTGGTAGGTAAAATCATTAATTCTTTTTTCCTTACTTTGCTTCATTCTTTTTTGCGTGATTTGTTTCTCTCATATATGAAATTATGTAGAATGATTTAATTTCACAAGTTCATTTTGTTACTTGCCTATTTTTAGTGTACTCGATAGAACAAATCTTGATACAACGCTGCTATTCTGTATTAATTTATATACTGGAACTTGACTCTCTCTCTCTCTCTCTTTATATATATATATATATATATATATATATATATATATATATATATATATGTATATATGGGCTCAAATAGGAATAATTGGGATAACGCTTGAACGTCGAAAATTAGTGTATATAGACAGTGCTTAAGTCGACAAGTCAAAGGACTCTTGAATCGACCACCACCTGCAACTCGCCCAGAAATACCACCACCAACAGCACGCACAGAACTGCCAGTGGACACCAATCCTCCAACGAAGGCAGGAATCCTGAATGCAATCAAGCTACTGAAGTCCGGGAAGGCAACAGGACCAGATGGAATTCCCCCAACTTCGAAGCACTGAAAACAGACCCAGAGACTGCGGCAGTTGTGCTCACGCAATTATTGCAAAAGGTTTGGAAGGAAGGAAAGGTGCCTACCGATTGGAAGAAGGGCTACCTTGTCAGGCTGCCAAAGAAGGATGACTTAGGCCTGTGCAACAACTGGTGTGGAATAATGCTCTTGTCCACGCCAAGTAAGGTCCTAAGTCGCATCATCCTGGAGAGAAAAGACGCGCTAGATGCAGAACTTCGGTTCAAGAGGCCTTTGAAGTGATCAGTGCATTGTTTTCTTTGTTTCTCCTCTTTGATAATTAGGTTATGTTCACTATCTTTCATTAGTTTCATCTATGTTTATCTCTTCCCGGATAGCCGCCTGGTTATCTTGTTTTGGTGATCTTGAGGGGTACCTCATATCCTCAGCCTATTCTGCTTCAGTTACCAGTGTGTCGTAGAACATCAGAGGGTAAGATATATTTTAATAACACTATAAGTATTCTAACATTTAGGTTAACATTGACTTATGTTCCAAAAACTCTTTTGTTTTAATATCTGCCACCATTATTGTGATTTGTTTTTCTGATAAATTTCTTATCATGAGTGAGCTGTATCTTCTTTTTATATTGTTTATAGATGAGGGAATCTCTGTCAGCGAAACTTGCCAATTGTAAAGTAGAGGTAGGCTGGTAACTGTATACTTACTTTTAATGTTATAAAAAAATCCTTTGGGGCTGATTCTTTAAGCCTTTTAATGATGTTAGGTATTCAAGGATAAACTTGTTACATAGTGTCCTGAACCTCAGAAGATTTATGGTGAAGTTAAATTGTCATAGCCAAAACCACAGTGACCTTGAACAACTTATCAGAATTCAGGTGCAAAAGTGTCTCATAATCGTTGAAAAATGCATTTTTAGAAAAAACACTGCAAAACATTGTATTATACTGGATAATTGTCACTCATGTGATATAAGAACATATGCCAGTCACTACACCCGGATAATCTATAGAGAAATCATACCATGCGCCATAGGTGTATGGCACGTGCTACTGCTAGTTTCTGGCAAACGCAAGTGTCGCAGATTCTAAGAGTTTCCGAGAGACTCGCAACCTAAATGTGGCTAGATTATGTATCATAGTGTTATATGCGGCTCCTCGTCACCAGTGAACGAGGATTTGGTTGGATTGCGTGCGGTACTTAATGGTAACTCCGTTAATCCATACTCTCGAACCAGTCAATACTTAGAAGACTTCAGTTGGTGTTGGCAGTATGGCAAAGTGATTTCATTGCTGTATAGTAGAAGGAAACTAAACGATAAACGCTCCCTGCTAAGGACAAACAGCCGTCTCATTCACTAACTGAGGCTTGATGTTTTCTGGATATGGGTCTATATGACTTTCAACCACAGCTGCTTTGAATATAATCGTGATATATAATGCTCTGTCTATCTGTAGCCGTACTGAATGGTCGTTCACTTGAGTCCTGGTGAATATTTAGAAGACAGGTGCCTGTAAACGAGAGCCAGCCAGCAATCAGACAGAGAGCTTTATCTAGTGATTTGGAACGTCATTTTTGCGGTAACTTCTCGACGACGGCCATTGTGAATGTCAGTCTGTATTTGTTGGCGAAAGCCTTCCTTATGACCAAATCTATTACAAACCCGGCATAGCTGATGTTTATACCGACAAGGTTTTACAAAGTGCCGAGCATCACAATGCCAGAAGTAGGAGAGAGGAGTCATTTTTTGGCTTCATCTCGCAACCGGGATGATGGGCGGTCGTGGTAGTGTAGCGTGTTCTACTGATAAGATTTATCAGTAGTATGTATTTAAAGAGATGTTCATCGGCATAAAAACGTCAAGTAGTAGGGAGATCGATTTGATGTCAGAGAAAGCAAATAATACAGCGTTGCGGAGATACAAGTGAGACGTGAAAGGAACACAAAGAAACACAGAAATATGAAGCCCAGAAGTAGCACAATACGGAGGATCTGTGCAAATGGTGATTTGAAGATAAGGTGAACATAATGTGGCTATATAGGGATGCCAAATTGCAGATAAAGATTCCTTCACCAAGCCTCTCGTCTTCTACTGTTTCAGATGCATTCATCCAGATGACTGTAGATCATGGTACTTTCAGAACCACTGATATTTCTGACACTGTTCTTCAACTTATCCCTAACTCTAACCCTAATCCTTACCTTGACCCTAGATCTTAAGCTTAATCTCAAGTACCATAACCCTGCCTAAAAGTATAGATTTACAGAGAAAGTATCTGGGGAATGAGTAGAATACTCTACCTATCCTTGCAGAATCCTAAAAGACAAGCATGATTTGATTTGTAAAGACCTTTCCCTAAATCCAACTGGTTCTTGAAGGTCAACTTTTTTTAACAGACCTTGACTTTGGCTGTAATACTTTAACTTCGCCAATTTATTAAATTTGTGCAACTTACCACTTACAGATTGGATATACTTTTGAGAGATTTTATTGGGCAGTAGTTGTGAGTCAGGTATTGTTAAGTTTTTGGTTAATACATGCTAATCGAAAGTGGCTTGGCATTTTCACTTTGGTATCTCTGACACTGAAGTGTCCTGTTGTATCTTGCAAACTTGGTCGTCAGCCTGCAGTCTCATGCATATCCCAACACTTGAATTCAAATAACACTGACTGTCTACTGGAACATTAGTAAATTAAAACTATCCATTGTCTGTCTGATAATTGCGCATGTCACACGGAAAATATACTTTTTTTTGTAGAGGTGAATTTGTTGAAATCCTATGCATGGTAAGACATTTTATTCCTTGTTGTAATTTCTCAACACTAAACGGTCTGTCCTGCCATTTTTTTTAAATGTATACTTTAGGAGCTTACTCAGAAGGTGTGTAGATTGCAGGAGAATCTGACCGCTCAAACATGTTTACTTGAAAATTTTAGACAAGTGAGTCTTATTTTAGTAACACATGAAAATGATTAAAGATTGTGAATGAATAAAGTTGTTTTTTATCGCACCAGATTTGTATATCGTTTTTGTCGGTGAAACGATTTTGAATGTTTGTGTTTACGTGATTAGGGTCTTATCAACTTACAAATACTAGCAGTGAACATTACACTTGGCTGCATAGAGTGCATTGAACTCAGTACCTGTGAAGAGAATAATCCTCTCGAACACTACACTGCAGATCCAGAAATCATAGTGTGATCTGAAAATGATTCAGTGTGTCCGAAAAAAATATCTAAATTCCAAGTGTTTGTTTGCAGGGACTTGATTAGTTACTGGTTTGATCGCGAGCTGAAAATCAGATGAAGAGCTACTGGAAAACCAGGAAGTACTGAACAGCTGTTTCGCCCCAGTTTGGGGCTCTTTAGCAGGGTATAATTCCATCACAGAATAAGCTTATTCGATAAAAAACACAATGGTATAATGGGTGAACAGTCTACGAGCTTTTCTTATAGCTGGAAGGTCGCCGGTTCGAGCCCTGTTGGGTGTGTGCTGATGAAGAGTCCCAAACTAGGACGAAATAGCTGTTGAGTACTACTTGGTTTCCCAGTGGTTCTCTAACTGATGTCAGCTTATGGCCAGACCTGTAGACAATATCTAAATTAATCTTATGCACTCTACAGCTTTTTCCCGATAACTAGAAATAGAAGTCGTAAAATCTATTGTCACAAGAATTTACCGCTTGTGCACAAAAGATTAAGATGGAGACGTTTTGAAACACTGGTTCAGAATGGACATACATCCGCACTCATTGATAAGTATTTGGGAAAAGTCTGATAATCCCCGCAACATACAAGTACCGAAACTGGTTACAATTCTTCGAAGCTACTTATGAGAAGTGGTTTGGAGAGCATTATTCGCCACAGTCAATGTGCCTTATTATTCTCATGCATCTTGTTCATCAACAGGTATTTACCGATTCCGTTGCCCCTACGGAGATAAATGCATTATATAAATGTTCGTTATGATTCTCAGTAGGGAGAATGGATATTCAAGTGAGGACAAATACTCGCCAAAGACATTGGCTGGTGGTCGCACTATGATGTGAATTGGCAGAAGTTGGAATTCATGGGCTGTCCATTGGATCGGGTCCCAGTGGCTTAATGGTCTACGAGCTCACCTTGTAACCCAAAGGCCCTGGGTTCGAACCTCGGCACTAGACGCGTACCGATGAAGAGTTCCGAACCAGTACGAAACGGTTGTCCAGTGCTTCTCTAACCGTCGTCAGTTCATCATGAAATCCTGCAACCAGGATGGATATTGTTGTTTTCTATCTTACTATATCCATAGATTTTTTCAATTTGATATCAGTGTATGGATTAGTTGATCGAAAGAAATCCGCCTACATAGAAAATATCGTAAACTCTGAGTACACGGGCGTTCTGTTCAAACTTTTGTCTTATTATCATGGCCTTAAATTCAAAATTTACCAGCTAGTATTATCATTTTGCATAAATTCGTTTTCACTCCTTCGCTGAACTTCTATCAAATGTATGCGCGTCTTGTGCATAATATTCTTGTTCCCAAGAGAACACCTTTTGGCCACGATTTCGGATCGCTATTCATCACTTAATGTCCCAGTTTATATGAGATTGCTTAACCACGTTTCAAAACTTAACATTTTTTCCATAGAGCTTATCATATTATGTTGTCGACCGACGCCAATCCCTGTTGGTATTTTCCATGACCTTTTAGAAAAGCTTTCCTAACTGTGTACAGCTTTGATAGAAAAATATGGAATTTCTCATGTTATTTTTTCTTTTCATTTTAGGGATTCGACAGTTTGAATCGAAACTACCAATCAGTTTTACAATCACTGCCCCACTTGTTGAAGAAGGTTGCACGTGTAGCTGAACCTCACTGTGTACTTGGCGATATTACTAGTCAACTGGTAGGTTATCCTAAGTTCCTTAGTCATTAATAGTGCTTACACTTTCTGGTAACTACTTTTATTTCTAGTGTTTTGCTGCAATTAATCGTTGTGCTTGTTTTTGTATATGTCCACTCCCTCTGAAACTATGTTTTTACTTATTTTGCTAGAACCACTGTTTGGATCTACGTCCTGGTTGCATTCCCGTGGATGGATCTTCAGCCAATCTTCAAAGACACACTGTACGTTTTTGCCTTTTCTATGCTAATTTGTCTTAGGGACATAGAGTGAAAAGTTTGTATGAAGTTTTCTGAACCCATACAGTAACAAGGCTAGCCATTTGATAATTACGCACAATAATGATCTCTCCGCCTAAAAGGCTCCTGCATACCAGGCGACTACAAAGTCCTATCCCGTAACTTTTAGAACTCTAAGTGTATGCTTAGCGCTTTTTATGATAAGAACAGATTTTAAGTTTCCCACTGTCGATATATGTAGGAAGAGATTCTTAAGGGAACGTGCAAATAGTTAGTTAATTGATAATTAGCTTATAAATTAAATAATTCCATTTATTTTTTCTAACTTTTAGGTCCTTTCCTGTTTGCCTGAAAAGCCCAGGAAAAATGAAGATGAATCACAGTTCCCAAGGTAGTCTAACGAACAAGACATTGTAAATATACTTACTCGTGATCTTTTCGTGCATGTAATATTACTTTCTGATCTCAAATATACGCATTTATTTTATTCTCATGCATTGCTTCACTTATGTTGGCCAGCAGCTAGGATTCCTGGCTCTCACCCAGGTGGCCCGGGAGTGAGTGTGGTGACAACCATTGCTATCCGTCAGGGATACTCACCCTCGCCATTTTTGTTTAATTTCATTATAGATGTACTAATGGACTTAACCCTACCTTACTTTAGCGACTCAGGGATTGACTTGTTACCAAGGGATAATCTCGTTGACTTAGAATATGCAGATGATATAGTCCTTGTAGATGAAGACGCTGACAAAATACAGTCTTCTGAACACCTTGAAGAATAGTAATCTTCGAATGTTTGATATGATTCGCTCCTGTCAAATGTAAGATGATGCTTCAGGATTGGACTACGTCGACCCCTAGCTTAAACATAGATTTTCTACTACCTGTTGTTTTCCCATGTTGCTGCGCTTTCACCCCCACATTTTTGCTCATTATTGTCCTTTGGATCTCTTTTCTGTCTACCTTTGTGTGCTACTCAGAGTGTAGCACTTTGGACTGCTGCACTTCTGTGCAGAGTTCTATGTTAAAATCAAACAGTCAGTTTCACTTACTAAAAGATTTTCTTCAATAAGTACACTCTAGTCATTTTTTACAAGGTATTGTAATGGAAAATGGTAATCATTACCGTTTACAAGTTAAATTCGGTTTGTTTCATGCCATAGTTTTAAGCATCATTATAACCCTATTGTAGTTATTTATTTCGGAAAGCTATAAGGATAGTTATATTATTGTAAAAAACAATTTAGAAGAATAAAGTATGAATATATTTAAACATGAAATATTATGAAAAGTTGAAAGGATTTGTACAATCTAGTTTGTTCAGCGATGCCGAGGATCTGTAAAGAGAAAAAAAAATTATATTCATCGATGATTATGCTATTTTTCGCTTTAAGACTATTTACAATAAAAACACTTTAATCACAAATAGCTTTTATGAACTTGAATACAGCCAATATTCTATCTACACTGTCGTCGAGTTCTTTGCATATTTAGATGCAAAATGGCATAAAGGATGACGTCCCTCCAGGCTTATTTTCTTTAAAGCAGGCGGTGTTTAAAAGATAATACCATCAGACAATCATTACTTATTAGTCTTTTTAGCTACGTAACAGCACTTGAATTTGGGACCAGGAGTATGCATTAAGAGCACACTATAAACATTACGAGTGGTTGGTTTTGTTGTTGACCGACAGTCATATTCTAAGAGATGTGTGCTCAACTTACTATTGGGAATGTGCTATTAAGAAAGCTGCCTGTCGAGTGATGTAACTACCGCACATATCCTAACATAACACAGTCAAGTGGGGTTGGGGAGTTACCAAAGGAAATGCAATTTTAGACAGTGGAGTGTCGCGTGTATGTTGTGTAATTTGAGAAAAAGATAGTTGCGTAAATATCTGAAGTAAAATTTCTCTTGCAATATTAGAGAACAGTATGTGTGCACTCTTAGAAATCAATAGTAAGTCTAGTGTAACAGTTTAGATAAACGAATCATCTTGCCATCGGGAGCCATCAAAAACAAAGAAGCTTTGAAGAAAATGATTAGGAAGGTTAGATCGACAAAACTTTTTCAGATCGCTCAACATATCAGCTGTCTACAAGTGTGAGTTAGGAATAATAAGATTGTGAATTTATTTCAGTGATAGTTGTTTGCAGCATTGGATACGAGAAGTCTTAATTCGACAATGAGAACTTCGTTCAGTAAGAAGAAAACACTGCATTAACATTACTACAGCATGAGAACAAAAGCTAGGACCAACCTATTACAATAGCCTTCTCCAATAATCATGCAGTGAATCAAACTCAAAGTATGAGAACTAGAACACCCACCCTGCGGAACAGGGTTTCTGAACACATCAATCACTGTTGAATAACGTATGTTTAGACTGATATGCTGTAGCTCAGCAGTTTACAAAATGAAGAGTGTTTAATTAGGATGGAAGCGTTTTCCAGGTAAAGGTTCGGGTTAAAATGAACGAATAACAAGCTACAAATGATAGGAATACTGAAACCCTCAACTTAGCGTCATATTATAAATGATAATACTAATGCCACGTAGGTGCGTCGGTGGTTCAACGATAGAATACTCGCCAACCACGCGCTTGGCCAGGGGTTCGACCCTCGGGTGACGCACTCCTAGGTCTGTTTAAGCCAACAAAGAGGGAAAGATTGGGCGTGAGGATAGCAACCCTATCCCATAAAAATAAAACCACTGCTACCAAAAATTCGAAGCTCTAGCTTGAAGCCCTATATTCCACTGGGAACGTAAAGGAATAAAATATATGTTACGCCACGTAAATGAAGGCAATGATGATAGTTTCAAAATGTGAGTATCTCTTGGACATTCACAGATAAATACGTATGCCATAATAGTATATGTTGGCTTTACCACATGATTTACAGACAGTGATCAATGGAAATTCCAAAACCCAGAGGATCTATAAGACGTACAGTCCTGCAGCCTCCAAAACTTCTATTGAACTTGTTTCATCATTCTGCTATAATTTGTTAGGATGTCAAACAATCCTATGCATCTAAAACTGACCATATACTGACATGTTTATTTCCTTTAGAAAAACATGTACAGTTAGGCTGTACACACTTTTAGTAAACAAGTGTACGTAAACTGAACTAGTATCCTCAATTTATTACATCACTGGGTATTTACAAATTAAACTAAGACAAATTCTACGAAACATTCAACTGTATTTTTAAATAAACCACAAACAAATTCAGACCTCAGGGTTATTTAAAACCTTTTTCTATTTGGGGATGTGATTTCATCAAAGTTCATACCTAAAAAAGGGAAGAAAGAAGTTTTTCAGACGACTATAACTATTTGTCAACATAACACTAATAAATATGCAGGTACTATACATCTCTAAACCTTTTACATGTCAGAATACTATGTATCACAGAGCAATTGAATTAGTATTTAGAATTAAAACTGAATTGTAATGAGATGCAAAATAACCCCAGGAGAACAGATTTCAAAAGCGTTAATACTTAGACTTACCTTCATGGATAGCTTCTATGTGCCGCTTTAAGCTTGACTTTTGAGAGAAATTTCGCTGACATATCTCACATCCAAATGGTTTAAGACCTTGAAAAAAGACAATCTGTTTGAAAAAAAAGTTAACATCAACTAACCTTTATGAACGGCATCAATATGTTTATGAAGATCAGAGTTTCGAGTAAAACCTTTATAACAGTATGTACATTCGAAAGGCTTTACACCTGTAAAGTGAAAGTTGACAATATGTAAACAAGGGTGGATTGGAAAAGATTAATTGATGATATTGATTAAAGTGAAAACGATACACTATAAAAACAGTAAAAGTGACTAACCTTTATGCACTGCTTTGATGTGTGTGTTTAGATTACAGTGTTTGGTAAACACTTTATTGCAGAATGCACAATTTAAAACTCGGAAATCTATTGTAAAGAAAGGAAAAAAATAAATTAAAAAGTAAAGTGAAAATATGGAAGGAACAATTAACTATGAATTAATAGGGATCTTACTAAACAATGACCTCCAATGTGATAAGTAGCAAGGCTGGAACAAATGTAACTTATGCTTTCTCTACATTTGAATGGATAGTAGTCAAATACTTCATGAAGGTACCAAGTTCACCCTAAACCTAGCGATGCTATATTCTTACAAACGCAATACAGCCGTGATTATTCTGAAGACGAGTTACTCATCAAAGTTACGACTCAATTGATTGTCGTTATGTTGTCCATTAAATCTTACCACAAAATATACCAGTGGGACTTCTTTGAAAAAATGGGTGTTTTTCAAAATTACTGTAACAGATGAAAGGGACATTAAGGGTAGAAATAAGTAAGGTAGATACACCAGATTGACTTGAGCCCTTACGAAGCAAGGACTCCATTTTTGAATAGAGAAAAAAATGCGTAGCGTTTGGCAAACACACAAGCGGCTTAGTGAAATATTATAAGCAAATGTGTACATAAAATAATTTACTACTAATTAGCTATTAACACTGTAACCCCGCCTAGTTTACTATCTGGACCCAAGCCCGGGAAAAGAGGGAGGGTTGGGCGCGGGGCTAGCGACAATACACGACAAAACCAATCAAACTGCTACAGAAACTTCAACACAAAGACTTATTTTTCGTTGCAATCAGAGAGGAGAAATGACGCAAGCTGGTGAAGACCTTCGAGAAGCCAGTCAGCCGATTTGTCTTCTCTCGATGAAGGCAAGAATATGAATGGGGACGTGGAATGTACGAGACTGGAAAGGCTGCCCAGGTAGCCAAAGAAATGAGAAGACATGGTATAGAAGTGCTGGGAATCTGCGAGAGCAGATGGAATGGATGTGGACTATCAAAACTGTCAACTAGTGAGTCAGTAATCTAGTTCCGTCTGGTCACCCAGACGACAACCACGAGCACACTGAGGAGGACATGTCATCAGTGGCAGCCAAAGCCCTAATGCAGTGGGGACCAATTTCATTCAGGATCATGACAGCAAGATTCAACTTAAAAGGAAGGTTACAATTATCCAATGCTACGCACAGTGCAACAAACAACGCGGAACAAGAGAAGAAGGAAGATTTTTACAGACAACTACAAACAGTAATGGACAACATCCCGAATGGATATAACAAAATCTTCATGGGCGATATGAATGCCAAACTGGGAGCTGATAATACAGGAAGACAACTCATCATGAATCGAGAGGCTCTCGCTCCAGGATATTAAAAAAATTTTTTTATATTTGGTTACAGCTTGAGAACGGAGAATTATTCGCAGACTTCTGCGCTTTCAATGATTTGGTGATTGGAGGCAGCGAGTACAGGCACACGGATATACACAAAGCAAGTTGGATTTAAAAATATTCACACCCGAAAGTGTTGGATTGAGGTACCATTTAATAAAGAATAAAACTTGTCGACAAAAATACGAAGACGGTAGTCTTACTTGGATCTTCTTCTCCATTACTTTTGCGGCCTTGTTCATTTCCCATAGCAGCAAATCCACTCAGATCATATTGTTCAGTATCTATCTCTGTACCTAACCCGAGATGTTTAAAATTTTGTGACTATACCTTCATGCATTAATTCAAAGTGTTTGTGTAAAAGACTTTGGCTACTGAATGTCTTTCCACAAAGGCAACAGATACTGATAAGTTCACCTAAAAATGTTAGTTTCAAAACAAGTAGTTACCATCATCACAAGCATCTGCGAAGGTTGGTCCGACGCCATTTGGTTCATTCATTTTAAACGTCTGTATATATGGAAATCATTAACGTAAGTTTAAAATATGATATCAATATGTTCAAAACACTGAAATGTTTTTCAAAAAGCTTAATGTTAAACAATGGTAAATATGTGAGGCGCCAGAAATATTAACTGAATAAGGATTACGTTGGAAAAGTTACGGGTAGTAGGACCAAAATATGAACCCAATTTATTAAGTCAGTGGTTGTTGGTTTCAGTCATATAAAAGACAGTTAGAGTAGCAAGGATCCATAGTTTGAGACTATTGGTGGGACGCCTCAGTGGCGTAGGTGCATTCACACTGTGATCTTTCAGATCCATTACTCATCTAACTATTTTTCCTGCCACTTATTTTAGTCACCATACTTCTGAAAGTACATACGAAGGTGGAGGAAAAGGGCTGAGATTCTAATAGACATTAACGTATGAAAGACAGAATAAGTACATGAAGAATGATAACCATTTAGTGGATCTGGGAAACCACACAGAGTGAATGCATCTGTGCCATTGAGAAACATTTTGATCTATATAGCTAAAAGTCTCTACCTATTGAATCTTAGCATCACGAGTAGTCCAACCAGGCAGTCGACACCACTTATGTGGTTCAAACCAACAGTGAGTCTAGAGGACGACATCATGTCACCCCTATCTCATTATAAACCCAATCCTATGTCAACTAACACTGCTCGAAGAGGAATGAGATGCAACTTAACTTTACCAACTGATTTCCCCTCATTACTTAATAGTAGGGCTAAATCCAGCGTTAGAACATGTTATATCACCTGGAACACACTTATGTGCCACCAGTCCCACTTTAAATTGCCATGTATTCGAGAAGTAAAATAAGACGGAAGAAACCGTTGCACAGCAGAAAGTGAAAAGGCTAGCTATCTTTGATCATAGGTGTCCGCACTCTATCTCCCGTGGTATAATATTATTATTATTTCCTTTAGTTCCTAGAGGAACATAGGGCTTCAGCCATGCGTCTCCATTGCGTTCGATTCTCTGCTAGAGTTTTCACCTGGCTCCAGGTCTGCCCACATGCTTTCATCTCCTCTTCACATGATCTCCTCCAGGTCACCCTTGGACGACCAACTCGCCGCTTCCCTTTCGGGTTCCACTCGAGGGCTTGTCTAGTGATGTCACTTGCTGGTTTCCTCAGAGTGTGGCCAATCCATCTCCATTTTTTCCTGCCTATTTGTTTCACAATGGGTTCCTGGTTGGTTCGCTCCCAGAGATCTTTGTTGCTGATCCTTTCCGGCCATCTGATCTTGAGTATTGAGCGAAGACATCTGTTAATGAAGGTCTGTAGGTCTATAATAGGGTGAATAATATTAAGGTTAGGCGTCGAGTGCCAGGTGAGGAGGGAAAGTCAATCGACGAGGTTGTGAATTTACGCCGATTGAGATGGTTAGGGCATGTGTTAGGCATGCCTAGCTTAGGCATTACCTTCCTCGACGGGTAACGTCAGCTGACATAGGATTAGGTTGAAAAGGAGCTAGTCGTGGTCAAACCAAAACATAGGATCAATCAATGGAATCCATAACAGTTCGTTTAGGCCACTTTGGGAGGTTAGACTTCCTGGTTGGGGTTCTCAGGATGGTATGGTATAGCTGAAGATAATTGGTGATATGGCTTAAAGTCGTCATCAATGGTGTAGATGCATTCACTCCTTATGGGTTATAATATTCAACAAAATTATATTGTTATTCCATATTACTATTCTTTTTCCCTTATATCTCTGTCCATTATCTCTTTTTTGAATCTCTCTACTCTTGCTTTGTGTGCAACATGGGGTGTGGCAACTGAAACTGCTGCACATTTGTGCAAAGTTCTACGTTGAAACCAGTCAGTCATTCACAGTAGACACCTTTCTTCGATGACCACATTACGGGTACCTCAGTGATTTCAGTTGACGGGTGCCATATTACGTATATATATATATATATATATATATATATATATATATATATATATATAAAGAGAGAGAGAGCAATTCAAAGTCACACCATGAGAGCTTAAATAGCATTTGGATTCTATTGAATATATATGATATTTAAATGCACTTAATGTTCGATAATTTTCATAGTTATTACCTAACATTTAAGTCCATATTATTAGCAAACCAAAAAATGAACAATGAAGGACTGTGCTAGGTAATGTTCTGCCCACGAAGATGAGCAAGGACTGTCTGAGAAGCAACAAACAGATGGCTGCTCGACACTCCAGATATGTAAACAATACATGTAGTGTCCTGTTAACTAATACGTACATTATACATAGGCGGTATATTTTTGTGTAAATGCCTGATACCTATTTGCCTGTAAGTTGCAATCGTGTGGAGATAATAATCTGGTGCTGGTGTCCAACTTGTAACAAAAATACTAAAACGTTTATCAAGCTTTGAGTGTTCCTGTAGGTCAATGTGAGAGATTGCTAGAGACTTTTGGAACAGATCTACCGTACCTCTAACTAACATGGCATGCCGCCACAACACCTGCAATTGTTCTGCACATCATCCCAAAAATGTAGCACTCAAAGCAGCTAATGTATCGCCAACGACAAATGTGGCAGTTATTAAGCGTTACACCAACGCAACAGTAGTATACTCAAAAGCTTACCTGGACACTCCAAGTATATTTACTTAGCTTCTTAGTCAATGTAAAGTAAAATTCCATCGTTTACGGTTTACATAAAATTGACGCCAGCGCACAATTAAACATTCTACGGAACCGAAAACCTGGCACTCGTAAATGCGCCTGAAAATGAAAGCTACTAGTTAAAACACATCACTCTTGAATGTGTCATGAGATTGAGTGTCCACACGTTGTCATCGTATGCTAGTACCTGTTTTTGGTGTCAGTTGAACTCTTCTTCTTCACTATTCATTTATCCAATATCCAATATCGTTTTTACGAGCTAGTTTAAATCAATTTCTTTGTGCTCGCCTCTTGATTGTGAGGTAGAGGTTCCTGATCTTCGGTAATCGTCTGCGTAGCTCGTCCCGCCACTCGACTGTGTGCGACTAAATTTCCATCCAACATTACCACAAGTTACTGACTTTGCCCAGCATAACACTAGCTTTCACAGCCATGAAAACCGGCAATTCTTCATGAGTTTTTTTATAACCGACATATCAATAAACTAAATGACTCTCAGGTTGACAGTAACGCCAGAATATGTATCCGTAAAACTTCCCAGTTTATGCATTTATCGAAAGGAAAGTAGTCAAGTTTCGTCTGTTTCACCACGCCTTTCTGAGAAGAATGATCTCGCAAGCTGCAACACTTCAGGAACCTAATGTGTGCCTTTGCTTGGACTCTATATTATTATGCTATACCACACTGGCTTTTTGATAGATAAATCACACGTTCCAACATTGCTATTAGTTAATGGCGTTTCGAACACAATTAGTTTTTTCTAACTTTATCTAATTTTCACGTAAACCACTTATCTGCAGACATGGCCTCATTTGGCGTATGATATCCAGTGTCGATTTCCAAATTTTTTCACAACACTGTCCAATGGAATCTTAATTTCTTTATTTGGTCACCTTATATACTAAAACAAACCATTTCCAAGCATTTCAATTCGTCTATCACGATCGTTGAACGCCTTAGTCTGATATCATAACCTCTGTATCATTATGGTTCTCAAGGCTTCTTGAATACTTAGTTTGTGGATGCGTTAACCGTGTTTCTCTCTTTTACCCCACTTACTATTACTGCAGGTTGTGCTGCAACTTCATCTGAAGTGGTCTTACCTGCCGCAATTTTCATTTCAGGAAATCCTCATATTTTGAATTAATTACTGATACATAGAAGGCGTAGGCGGCACAGCTCGCCAACCACGTATGTGGTTCGAGGTTCAGTCCCCGACCGACTCACCCCTTTACCTCTCTAAGCCAGTAATATGACTGGTAGAGAGGAGAGGTTGGGCATGAGTCTAGCAAATCCCACCCTGTAAGAATAAACACCACGGCTACTGAAACTTCAAAGCTCTAGCTTGAATCCCTATGTTCCATTTGGAACGTTAAGGAATAAAAAGCCCATTTTCAAATGCGCTTATTTCTGGAAAACTTTTTCAGGGGGCTGATACCTCGCTTTGGTCTGCTAATCGTTTACTGACTTGTTTTCCTTCTTGTTGTTGGGGTATCGGAAGAGAATTTCCATTGTTCGGTCGAATTTCAGGATCCAAGCGACGTTTAACATCTTAAAAGCTGCTAATTTGGTGATGGTTTGAAGACTCTATCACGTCACCATAATGCTTGTCGTTAGCTATTTCCATTAATTTCCGCTACACAGAACATATAGTCATCGAAAATCATCTGTGATCTAAACTTCATCCTAAGTCTGCTTCACTCAGTAATACATCTAAAAGATAAATTAGGGTAAAGTTTCTTCAGTGAGTTGCCTCAAAAAGTAAATGCACTGATGTCTCTAGTCCCTAGTCATATGTGGCCCATATGGTTTGTGGAGATTTGCAAGAAAGATTGAGCTGCGTTCTTTTTCAAAGAGATTTTGTACGTGTAATCTATTTAAAAATAATACACTTGGCATTAGGGATATTGAAATAATCACAACAACTTCAGGCTTTTGTATGCACCAGGCGGGCTACTGCTCGTTTCAAACTTCAGAAGCACGAAAGAAGATATGCATATATTCAGGTGAATTAAACCGGAACAAAGATCACAAACGACTTTGGAAATATACATTGACAAGCATTGCAAAATATTTAGACAATGGGCCTAGATATCAATTTCATGGTTAGGCATGTAATCACTCAAAATCAATTCGTCTTCCACAAAAATTGCCGCAGTTCCTAGAAACCAAAACTGGCATTGTATGAAAAGTTATATACATTCTTTCCTTGAGTACTTGTTTTAGAAGACATCCTACTTAAAGGCCATGGTACAGTAGCCATCGAACAATGTAAAACAGCCACCAGGCAAAAGTTTTACTTGATTAGGTATGCACAGATATGGAATAAACTACCAATGGAAATGCGTCAAGCAAGTACATTGGCCTCCTTCAAAAAGGTGCTTAATGACAAACTACAAGGGTTTGCAAACGATAGTAGTTCTAGTTCCTATCTGAGAGCCTCCGAAATTATAGGTCCATTTAATGTATAAGCTTAAATACTACACCTGTTGTTTTTGCCTATATTTATAATTCTAGATAAAACATTAACGGTTAAGATACGTATCCTCAAACAGACAAGAAATCTCGTTTGTAAAAGTACTACCCAACACAATAAATGGAATAAAATGGACATAAACCGACAACATGAAAAAGGTATAACTCACCACAACATCACATGGACAGATGTACGCTCGTTGGGCACCATATATCCCTCACCAACTGCAACCCACCTTTCCTTAGATAATGTGATGAACTTATATCCATAATGTTGCTGAGCAGTTAATATTCTCAACTCCTGTCGGAACATCTGAAATTCATAAATCTTCCTCACGCTAAGAAAATACCCACAAGCAGTAGAAATCCATTAATAATGCGTCTGAAGCTTATGTATTTACTCCCAACAATGACATTGCAGATCAAATGAGATAAACATATCATTGATTTCAAAATAACACATCAATGAACTATAATTCAAGGATTCTGCACACAACGAAGTTATGTATGAAAATTGACCTCAAGCTTTATTTTTTTCCCAGGCACTTATAATCCATCCACCAAACACCTGGTTTTTTGTTTTATTATTATTTTTTATTATTTTGATTTACAGCTTGATTCCACACCGTATTTTCAGTACAAGTGTGGAATTTTCAGCATGGATATCGGTAGCCCAAATTCAGGCCGACCATAGATATCGGGTGTGCGCCGGCAGGGGATCGAACCCCGGACCATGTGCATGGTCGGCGAGAGTCTTAACCACTGTGCCACGTTAATGCGAAGACAATACTTCTGTATTTTCTGTTGTGTTGCACTCACTGACGATCTAACAGATTTTTCCAACTGTGCACAGAAATGATTGTATATGAGTGAAAAGGCTGTTTTATACTACTGGGATTAACATTTATCAAGTGTATGTATAATCTCCAGCGAACATGTAAAGCATATCTTGCTACCGCCTGTATATTGTGATTGAATTATATGGTTCTTTTTCTGTAACAATTTGATGATGCCTGTAAACTGGCGTCCCTCATGTACTCTACTATGAGAATAAATTTATTTATTTAAACACTGAAGGCATTCAGAGGAGATTTGCACGAGCAATTTTCTGGGAGAAGTTTTAGCCTTCCCAACAACTATCGTTGCACAGCTTTTAAGATCGAAACTCCTGGGTTCAGTAGTCGACGGCGTAAGTTCACTAACTCATTCAGAATCCTCAAGGGAATAGAATACTTTCTTAATCACAACCCTTAATTTACTTCTTCACCATATAAATTACTCAGCACTGGGTCATCTCTTAGCCCTGTTACTTGTTGCAACAGGTTTTTCCCCAGTTCATACAGAGGTAAGAGTGGAGCACGCTGATCAGCAGGTATGGTTCTGGTCAGAGATGTGAATTGCTCCAATCATCAGGACATCAACATGCATTTTTGACAGCTCGAGATGTAAACATGAGTTTAGACCATGGTCTTAAAGACAATAATGATTGTCAGGATCTAAATAACAAATAATTCTTTTGCCTCTTACACCAACCAATACCTCAACTTTTTGGCGAGATTCAATCCCATGGGACCTACAGAATCGTGAGACAACTTATGAGCCAGCATGTTCTACTTCTTTGAATACATGAAACCACTGCTGACTAAACTGTCATCTGCATGCTTCGTAATAATTGTTACTTGAGTACCATTATTTTACAAAGTTTCTTAACTTTCCAAGATCTTTATGAAGTTAACACTCCCTTCTTTTGTACTCATTCCTCGCTCTTTTAAAGTTTGGTTGTGTAGAAAGTAAATACGACATCATGTTTCAGGAAAGCTATATTTTCATCGAAAACATCAAAAGAAGACCAATAAAGTTGTCAGTATACGCTGAGAAAGTACACTATCATTCTAAGAACTGTGTATCTCCCTGTACATCTTCTGTCAGTGTATTTTTTGTATATCACCCTAACTTGCATTTTATTACACTTTGGAGTTCCTCTCCATGAGATTGCTTTTAATGACACGTATATGTAGTACCTCCCTGGATTTTGATTGTTCATCTCCTGGATACAGTCAGCCGCAGGTAACGTAATGAAGCGTGGGTTGCCGCTCAACTTTGATGATGAGATGTATGACGGCTTAACGAACTTGAATTTATATATGAACCTGTTCTAGTAGCTTACATTAAAATTTAAATATGTTAAACTGTAGTTACAGTACCAAGTAGCCAGTATTTCGCGATTGTAATTTATACCACGCTGATCGCGTGTGTGAAAGTGGCATCAGTTTTTTATTGATTCACTGATTTATATGAGATGTACAACATTATTACCATTTACCATAGGCAAATATTTTCGCCGGACTGAAGAGAAAAAGCAGCACATCAACACGACAACTCACTACTCCACTAAACAAATACTTCTTTGAAAATGGTCTTGGTATAGTTTGCAGCGAGACAAAAATTTGTCATACCTCACTTACGTGGTTGAATAGATGTGTTCACTCTGCAAGCCCGAATTATTGTGTTTATTCAGCATAATTATCGGTGCGCTAATACTG